CTTGTAGTGTTCAATAAATATATTCTGTAGGCTTCCTTGACTGAGTTGGGTGGTCATATAAATGCTCTAAATAAATAAATAACTAAAAGTTTGAAATTAATACAGTTGTGAGGTGCAACCTGGGGGGTGGCCTGGAATAAAACTGAATGTCAACTCGCGAAACTTCCCTAACCTGCTCCCAAGTTGCCATAGGCAGAGGGGTGGGGAATTGAGCCTCACAGCTGCATTTGCACCTCAATCGAAATAATGCACATCCTAGCTGGCCAAAGACAAGGCCATTTCCACAGAAACAAGTAACGGACGGAGGGAGTGACTTCTACGACCCGCGAAATTGCTTCGTTGGGCAATGTGACTGATGACACACCTTGGGGGGGAGGGGGAAACGGGGTCGGAAGCAAGGTGCGAACGGAGTGGGGTCAGAGCTGGCTTCACTAGGTCTATGCCGACATGAAGCTCCTAATAAACAACTGGATTTTTCTTGGAAACTGGCTTGAGGCTCTGGCACTGAATCTATAATCTTGTTTCACTTTCAGCACATATTGAGGTGGCATTCAGCCGGTTCTCTCCAGTTCAAGTGAACCAGTAGTGGCAGCTGCGGGAGGCTCTGCCCACCTTCCCCAACTTAATGCGCGAGCACTGCGCATGCGCAGAAGGTGGTGCGCATGCACAGATGCAGCACATGCGAGCAAAGCAAACAAGCGCGCACTCAGATTTGCAAACCGGTAGGGAAGGTAAGTGAATCCCATTGCTGGCCTGACCAATGGAAGAGTCGAGAGGCACAATTGTTGAGCTGTAGGGCATCAGCTGATCTTAATCCAGCCTTCTATCCCACCCTTTCTGTGAAGAGCTGAAGGTGGCTCAGATAGACTTCCCCTCATTTTTAATTTCACAGAAATCTGTGAAGGAACACAACTGGAGAGGAAGTGAGTGGTCCAAGCTAGAGAGTGAAAACAAATTTAAAAAAAAAAATAACTCAAGGCTGAAAAGAGAAAGTCGTTCTCTGGCTGGCTGAGGATCTGAAAAACCAAGTTCCCCTCAGAACAGACATAGGGGCTCTGTGCAGTTATTCTCAGTCTGTCCGGGCTCTATGCTGAAGAAAGGTTCAAAGGAGAGATGTGCTACTTCCATTAGCAGTGTCTCATGGTGCTGGTCTGAAGAAGGAGACCTCTTTGTCTCTGAGGCATCTCTGCATGCTTATGGACTCTGGAGCACCAAATTATAAAATCTTAGGTAAAGGTTCCCCTCGCGCATATATGCTAGCCGTTCCTGACTCTAGGGCGTGGTGCTCATCTCCGTTTCAAAGCTGAAGAGCCAGTGATGTCCAAAGACGTCTACATCCAGGGTGGGTTTCTCGCCCTATTCCAACCTGTTCGGTTGGAACTGGGCCGGCGGCATCCTCGTGCATGCGTGCGGTGCACGCATGTGTACTAGCGTCTATGCGATGCTCCAGCTGCTCCTGGAGGATCGCGCAGGCGCTGTATGCGTCCTGCGCATGCGTGGAAGCGCAGAACTCATCAAAACCAGGTAAGGAGCGCGGGCGGGTGGCTGGGCCCTTCGCCGTTCCCGGAAGTTACTTACTTCCGGGTTCACCGACCAACCGGTTCGCAGGGACC